CCTCCTGACTCTTGGTTATTTGTTGTAATTTAGACAAATTGAACAATTGTTTGTAGTGGCTAAGATACTAGCTATAGGCTTTTTGCTTCAAAAGTGTGCAACTAAGACCTATCTTGGTGGCTTCTTGGACAGCAGTAGCAGTCTATCAAATTGACAATGAGTCAAGGTGACTGTGGTTAGTCATGACACTTCAAAATATACTGTGTAAGTCTTCCTCCAATCCCATTCTCAAGGCTGTTTCTGCTCATCTAAGATCAAAAAAGATCTTGAATGGTGAGCATACATGTAATCAAACTAGTAAGTATACATGTGTATTATTTATACACTAGCATCAATGAACTTATCCTCCAAGGCCAGGAGGACAGAACCCATTCCTTATCTCTGTTAACAGCTATACAATCATGTAAGTCCAAACCCTAGCCCCTGTATATTTATTAGCTATATGGTCTCTCTTGCCTGGGTTTCTGCATGTAAACTAGAAATGGTAATTGTGTATTAGATAAAGAGCACAAGCAAATTATAAAGAACAGTATCCAGCACCCAGAAGTTAGCAAGTAACAGGTGTCACAAGACAGCCATCTAAAGCCACTAAGAAAGTATGTAACAATAGTAATAAAAATATTTGACCTATATCCAGTCAAGACTTGTCTTTACTATGATCCTTAACCCTCAAAGGAACTTTAGAACTATATTTTCCTTGGTTAAAGGAATAAATTAGCCAGGCACCAGGAGCTCACATCTGTAATACTAGCTACTAAGGAGGCTGAGATCCAGGGATCAAGGTTTTAAGCCAGCCTGGGCAGAAAAGTCTGTGAGACTCATCTTAAACTACTCAGAAAAAGCAAGACATGGTGTTGTGGCTCAAGTGGTAGAGCACTAGCCTTGAGTACAAAGAGGCTCAGGGACAATGTGCAGGTCCTGAGTTCAAGCCCCAGGACTGGCAAAACAAACAAACAAACAACAACAACAACAACAAAAACCAAAGGAATAAGCCGCTGAATAAATACATTTTATAAATTCATAATAATTCAGGATCATGACTAGTTAAAAAGCTGTTCCCATAAACCATTTTTATAAAAAACTCAATTCAAGGGCTGGGAAGGTGGCTCAGTGGTAGAGTGCTTGCCTTGCATGCATGAGGCCCTGGGTTCAATTCCTCATCACCACATAAGCAAAAAAAAAAAAAAAAAAAAAAGCCGGAAGTGGCGCTGTGGCTCAAGTGGTAGAATGCTAGCCTTGAGCTGAAGAGCTGAGGGACAGTGCCCAGGCCTAGAGTTCAGGCCCCACGACCAGACCCTACAAATAAGTAGTAGGTATTTAATTTAGTTCAACAACAACTTGTAAATACTCTTTTCTTCACAATACACCTCTTTTATTAGGCACACTTAGAGGTTGGCTGCATGAATTTTCCAGATATCTCAGATTCACTCGGTTTTTAAGTCTCTAATAAAAAATTTCATTTCCTTGCTTAAAATTATTTTATTAACATATATTAACTGTACAAACTAAGGTTTTTGCTTTGACATTTACATCTATGTACATAATGAACTTTCAGTGGTACTGGGTTGAGTCTCCTCAAAATCTAAGATCAGTGAAATAAATGACTGTAGCACAATGTTCAATCAAAACCTTTAGGCGAAAGATGGACAAACCCAAAAATCTGCAGGCTATCAGTATCACCTATGTTTTTGAATTGGTCAATGGGAAAACAGTATGACACAAGAGACCAATGAGAGTCTGCCACCAATCAGTCTTAGTATCTAAAGTAGGGTAAGGGACTTTGGAAAGCAGTATGGAGGTTCCTCAAAAGACTCCACATAGAGCTCCCCTATGACCCAGCAATCCCACTTTTGGGCATTTACCCAAATGTTTACAAACAAGACCACACTAAAGCTACCAGCACAACTATGTTTACTGCAGCATTATTTACTATAGCTAAGATATGGAACCAACCCAGATGCCCCTCAGTAGATGAATGGATCAAGAAAATGTGGTATATATACACAATGGAATTCTATGCCTCCATCAGAAAGAATGACATTTCCCCATTTGTTAGGAAATGGAAAGACTTGGAAAAAATTATATTAAGTGAAGTAAGCCAAGCCCAAAGAAACATAGGTCCCATGGTTTCCCTCATCTGCAATAGTTAGTATATGTATGAGTCAAGCAGAAAAGGTCAGATAAGATGATGTTAGGAAAATGAACCCTAAGATATGTATTTAAATGTTTTTTTTCTTTCATGTATTTGTTTCTAACACATTTATATGATTATTTCTTTGTTGCTTTGTATGTCCCTCCCCCACAGTATAACCCTTGCTTTCATTATATTTGATGTCGGTATAATTTGTGGAGGGGAAGGGGAAAAACAAGTCATTTAAATAAGGATACAGGTGGACCCATTGCAACAATGAGAAGTACAAGTTGTCATGTCGAAAACGAACTTTACAACTTTGGTGGCGGAGGGGGAAGATTGGGGGGGGAGGCTTGAAAGGGATGGGAAGGGGAAACAAAGGAGGAGGCTACAATGCTTGATAAGAAATGTACTCATTATCTTGCCCATGTAATTGTAACCCCTCTGTACAGGTGGAGGATGGGGGGGAGGGAGGCTTGGAAGGGATGGGAAGGGGAAACAAAGGAGGAGGTTACAATGCTTGGTAAGAAATGTACTCATCTTGCCCATGTAATTGTAAACCCTCTGTACAGTTTTTTCACAATAAAAAAATTAAAAAAAAAATAAATGAAATATAAAAAAAAAATAAAGTAGGGTAAGGGTACAATGTGCCATCTATGCATTTTTTTAAATGACAATAAGAATAGTCACACTTCCATATCTAATTACCTGTTTATAGGTAATATGGGGGAAAAGTAAAATGTTACATGGCATATAGATGAAAAAAAAACAGAAGTTCATATTGTGAAGAATGACCTTATTTCCTCAACAACTAAATAGCATAACCTACCCCAAAAAGGGGAGTAAATAATTATGAGACTGAGGAGATGTAACAATCAAATGTACTGTATTGAACTTTATTTATATCTAATTCAAAGAATTAACTGTAAGAAGCCATTTTGAGAAAATACAGGAAAAAAAAAAAGAGTCCCTATGAAGTCCATTTCTCTGACAGATATGCACACTAAAATATTTGCAGGCTGAAACTTGTTATTTGAAAGGAGACATATAAAACAGGAATGGTATGAAGATTCATTGTATTATTCTACTTCTGTGTTGGCTGAAATTTTCTACAATAAAATACACTCAGCCAGGAGCTGGTGGCTCACATATATAATCCTAGCTAACTCAGGAGGTTGAGATCTCAGGAAAACTGAGGTCTGAAGCCAGCAAGGGCAAAAAAAAGAAAAAAAAAAAAAAAAGTTTGGAGAAAGAAGGGACAGGCATTCATAATCAATCAAGTGTGGCCACCATCCATGAAGCATGAAAAACTGCCGAAAGCCCATAACCGTAAAACCAACATAAAAGCAGTGGACATCAATGGCCTCAAAAAGCCGCTCTGACCAGCTTCCTTCGTCAGCAGAAATCCTCGCAGCACAGTCCTGCAGAGGTGTTTCCCATTGAGCAATGTTCTATTATCAAGGTATAAACAAGATGTCTTGCTACCAAACTGAACTTCCCTAGCTTCCACCTGAAGAGTTCAATTTTAAGAATATTGACTACTGTAACACTTAAGTTTTATGTATTTTATGTGGTCTATCTACTATTTGAGCTTTTCAAGGTTCTCCAAAATTCAAATACATATTGTTGTACGAGTTAAAGAAATATTTTTTGTGCATAAAAAAGCAATCACTGGGGCTGGGAAGGGGGCTCAGTGGTAGAGCGCTTGCCTTGCATGCCTGAGGCCCTTGTTTCGATTCCTCAGCACTACATAAGCAAAAAGAAAAAAGCAGGAAGTGGCCCTGTGGCTCAAGTGGTAGAGTGCTAGCCTTGAGCTGAAGAGCTGAGGGACAGCGCCCAGGCCCAGAGTACAGGCCCCACGACCGGACCCCCCCCACACACACCAAAAAAGCCATCACTGTGGTTTAAAAAAAGTATACTTAAATCAACCATTTCCATTACCAAATTGTTCCCAAGTTAGTTAAGCTACTATCACTGCAGTTAAAACATTAACTATGTCACAGTTTTGAAGGTCAAATATATTACCTATTTTCTTTCAAAATATGCCATAAAGGTAGTTTATTGTAAGAGTAAAAGAATTTCAAATGTTTGCCCACTATCCTAATAGTGTTTCAAATAGTTTATCCACTCATTTAATAAAGGAGTTCACTAATATAGCTATCAAAGGATATTTTCTTTTCCTTCTAAGGTTGTACCTTGCTAGCTTTAAAATGTATCTCCCCAACAGTTGTTGGCCAAATACATTGAAAAACTTTCAACAGGTTGTCCTCACCTTTCTGTGACTCTCTACTTTGATGTCTGTATACTGAACATTATTCTGGTTAATAAGGAAGAGAAGCTATAAAAATCAAACATCTGTTAATGATGTCTGAAGACAATATAATTGAAAATAAACTGTAAAATAAAGGTACATTTGGTCATGGGGAAAGCTGAAGTGGGAAATTTATTTCTCCATTGATCTTATCTCTTGGAAACAAGGTAGATTGTTCTGGAAAAAATAAAAGAAACAAACATTACTGCTGGCAATGTAGAAATTAATTATCTCAGCTCCCTTCTGCTGATAATATTCCAAGCAAAGGTGTTACTTCCTTAATTAATATAGAAGTAGTTATATTTAGCCACACTAAGATAGATGGTATTCAAGTATTAAAAGTCCTTCTACTCAAAGAAGTTAGCTTCCAAGAACTTGCAAATTGGATCTGACCTTTGAGCACTCACTGTAATAATTAAGAAGCTAGAAAGTAGCAAGCTTTATTAAGCTTTTCTTAATCATCATGATAACCCCACAACACAGGTACCACCATTATTCCCATCAAATAAAGAAACTGACAAGGAGGAAAGTAACTTGCTAAAAAGAATAGCAATTGGGACCCTTTTCTAGTTCATAAACATGATGATTGGGTTCTCAGCACTTGTGACATGTGCCTCCCTCTAAATCTTGTTATGACATGGGCATATTACACATCTACATGGAGAAAAAGAAAAGAGGTAATAGGAGAAAGCAAGGGAAGGGATGACATTGTCCAAAAAGAAATACACTCATTACCTGACTTATGTAACTGTAAATCCTCTGTATATCACCTCCTTTTTTTAAATTTGTATTTATTTTTTATTGTGAAAATACTGTACAGAGAGGTTACAGTTACATGGGCAAGATAATGAGTACATTTCTTATCAAGCATTGTAGCCTCCTCCTTTATTTGCCCTTCCCATCCCTTCCAAGCCTCCCACCCCTCCACTGTATATCACCTCTATAATAATAGAAATATTAAATTACAAAAAAACAGCTAATATGTAGCTCAGCCAGGATTTAAGCCCAAGAAGTATGGCTGCTGAGCCTTGAACTCAGGGCATTACCCTTGCTTGGCATGTTTGCTCAAGGTGGGCACTCTACCACAGGAGCCCTGGCTCACTTTTGGCTTTTTTCTAGTTGACTGGACTTTCCTGCCTAGGCTTGGCTTTGAACCAAGAACCTCAGATCTCAGCCTCCTGAGTAGCTACATTTATAGGTGTGAGCCACTCAACCCACTTGCCACACAGTTTTAAACGGGACAAACAAAAAAAGCATTAATAACATTGCAAAATCCATGAGTATCATTAAATATGATCAAGAAACATTGATCATACTTGCTATGTGCTCCACACTGTGTTAATTATAAAGAACACTGGAAGCTGGACTCATGCTTGTTATCCTAGCTACTCAGGAGGCTGAGATCTGAGCATGAAGTCTGTAAAAACACTTACCTCCAATTAACCACCAAAAAGTCAAAAGTGGAAGCAAGTGGTAGAGCACAAAAGCTCAGTTGCCCAGGCTGAGTTCAAGCCCAAAGACCAACCTCTCTACACCCCACCCCCCAAGAAAGTAACATCTGTCCTATCAAAACTTTACTATTACCAAGATAGGAGCCAGACATACATATAAAATGAGGAGAGAAAGTGTGTCTTCCCTGTATGAAAGCTACTTCCTCATAAATTCATCCAAAAGAAAGCTACAGAAATTATATTAAGACTGGATCAAAACTATTAGACAAAATAGAGAACTATCATACAGTGATAAAGGAGTTAATTCATCAAAAAATACAGCAACCACTGATATGTATGAATGAACCTCACAGCAAATGAAGCAAAAACTATTAGAACTCAAGGAACAAACAGACATAGCTATAATTAAGTTGGGGGCTCAGCTCTGTTTTTAGTAATCCAAAAATATCTATAAGGTTATAAAAGACACAAATAACACTATCAACTAATAAAAATTTTACCCTAGCTGGGTGCTGGTGGCTCACGCCTGTAATTCTAGCTATTCAGGAGACCGAGAACTGAGGATCCTGGTTCAAAGCCAGCCTGGGCAAGAAAGTCTGTGAGACTCTTATCTCTAATAAAACCATTTGAACCCGAAGTGGCACTGTGGCTCAAACAGTAGAGTGCTTGCCTTGAGCTCAAGATGCAGAGACAGCACCCAAGCCGTGAGTTCAATCCCCACAACAACAACAACAATAAAAAAAGAGCAGAATGTTTTTCTTTCCAAGTGTACAAAGAACAATGGCCAATGCAGCCTAATTCTTCTTCTTCTTCTTCTTTTTTTTTTTTGGCCAGTCCCGGGATTTGAAGTCAGAGCCTGGGCACTGTCCCTGAGCTTCTTTTGCTCAAGGCTAGCACTGTACAACTTGAGCCACAGTAGCCTAATTCTTGACCATAAAAAGACCTCAAAAATGTAAAAGAACTGAAATTATTCTAAAAAAAGAATCTCTTGCCACAAAGAAATTAAACTTGAAATCAGTAATAGGAAGCAGTCTGGAAATTTATAAACAGGTGGGTCAAGATGGAACTAACAAGAGAAATTAGAAAAATATTTTAATGGAATGGCAGTCAAAATACAACATATAAACAAATATAACGTAAGTTAAGCAGTGCTAACAGGAATGCATATGTAGCCTTAAAGGCTTAAATAAGAATGAGAATGACTTAAGCCTCCATCTAAGAAACTAGAGGAAGCCTAGATTAAAGATAGGAGGCATGTCTGGAATATACAACAGCAGCCACTTGAGGATTTCCATGAACGAAGGTGCCATGAGACATGCAGACCACTATGCCATCGCACAAACAATTTCAAGTCAGTTACCCCTACAGTTTATAAACGCATACATGCCTATGTGTATACGTGAGCAAAACACATTTTTAGAGTGGTATCATACCTCTACCTAGGTTGTTTTTTTTTTAAGTTTTAGCAAGGATTTATTTTCATATAATGGAGTTTGCTGTTAGGAGAAATGGAGAAGAAACATTTCCTGCTCCCCATGCAGGACATGGGAATTAGGACTTTGCTTCATAGTTTTTTTGTTTTTTTTGTTTTGTTTTGTTTTTTGTTTTTAAAGAAAAAGGTCATAGAACACACATCAAGTTGGATAAAGTCAAAGTTAAGTGCAGGGTGGAACATAACAGATGAGAACTGAATGAAAGCAAAATAGAATAATTCTAGAAAGTTAAGATAATTTGCTAGGCAGTCAGGAGATGTTTACTGTCTTAAACAGAAAGACTTTTGGGAAAGACTTTTGTGTCTCTGAAAAGTAAAATTCTGGGTACACTTTTGAACTATGACTCCCATTCCAAATGAGGAACTTATTCTTTTCTAAAGGAAGTAGCAAGGGCTAAGCAGTCCCTGGGAAAAGAAGCTCATTTCTCAGTAAGCAGTCAAACAAACTAAAGGCAAGTGTATGCATTAATATAAACCGAAAAGAGATCTATCTCTGGGCTGGGTCTCAAAGATTACAGATGCTACTTATAACTCTACTGGCAAAATCTAATTCACGGTCAACCCAGCCACAACTAAGGGAAGGAATACAAAGACAATGGGAGAGCACTGGCAGTGACAGGAATGTATAATGGAAACACCCAGGCATGCTGGGACTTCCCAAGATTCCTTGTTTACATTGGGCTGAGTGGATGTGTGCTAACACATCGTACGGAATTTCATCTAGAAGTTTTAAGGCTTTAATTCCAGAACGAGTTTTATAATACTAGGACAAGCACCACTATACTAAACATTATTGCATAGTGACTGTTCAAAAAGCACTTCCCTGAGGGTTTTGAAAGACCCTAAATGCTCTTCGAGCGACTAAAACAGAAAAATCAAAATCTTGCCCCTAAGAGAAAAACAGCAAAGAAGATCTGATTTTAAAACAGCTCTATGGTATTCAGATGTTCTGATAAAGAGAATGCCAAAGCCAGTAAAAGAAAGAACTTTCCATAGCACAGGAGAAGGATGTGGTTTGTTTGACACAAAAAGATACCAGTTAGGAAAGTTATAAAATTATCTCCCTTGTAAAGCCCACACTGTAATGACTTTTCTGCCTTAGGTTCTTTTCTTCTCAGTCTCAATCTTCAATTCTTACTAGTCTATGAAAAACCACAGAGGGTTGGGATGTATTACCAAAGGCTAGAGGTTTATGCCACAGACCTGAGCCACTGTGAATGCACCATAAACTCAGAGATGGCTCCTGGAGAGCAGGCCCAGCACCATATGGATTTCTGTCCACAACACTGCTACCATGTCTTGATGCTTTCTGAGCTTCTAGTTTCCTAGGATGACATCCTCCAACAGTCCAATTCTCTTATGGCAGGTTCAGAAACATAGTTGGCACCCCCAAATTCATACGTTAAAACCTAACTCCCAGTACCTCAGAATGTTATTGTATTTGAAGAGCTTTTTTTTTTTTTGGTCAGTCATGGGGCTTGAACTCTGGGCCTGGGTGCTGTCCCTCAGCTCTTCAGCTCAAGGCTAGTGCTCTACCACTTGAGCCCCAGCACCACTTCCAGTTTTCTGGTGGTTTAGTGGAGATAAAGAGTCTCATGGACTTTTCTGCCCAGGCTGGCTTTGAACCCCAATCTTCAGATCTCAGCCTCCTGAGTAGCTAGGAACACAGACATGAGCCACCGGGTGCCTGGCTTGAAGAGTCTTTAAAGAGGTGACTATGCTAAAATAGGATCATTAAAGTCAGCCATAACCAATCTGATGTCCTTACAGGAAGAGGTGATGTGGACACAGGCACACACAGAGAGAAGACCATGTGACGCCATGACTAGAGGCAGCTACCAAAGCGCCTAAGAGAGAGAGAAGAAATCACTCTTGTCAGGCACCAGCGGCTCACACCTATAATTCTAGTTCTCAGGAGGATGAAATCTGAGGATCAGTTTGAAGCCAGCGTAGGCAGGAAAAATTCATGAGAACCTTTTCATGAATAAACTTCCAACAAGCTGAAAGTAGAGCTGTTCCTCAAGTGGTAGAGCATTAGCCTTGAGTGTAAAAGCTCAGAGACAGCACCCAGGCGAAGTTCGAGCCTCAGTACAGGCATACATAAGGGGAAAGGAAGGGAAAACAGTCTTGCTGACAAATACCTTGATCATGGCTGAGCTGTGAGAGAAATACACTTCTGTTGCTTAAGCCACCCAATTTATGATATTTTGTTATGGAGGACCCAGCACAAATACAATGCTAAATACATTTAGCTATAAAATCCCATGCATGGGATTAATTAATTAATCTACTCCTAGCTACTTAGGAGGCTGAGATTTGGAATCATGGTTTAAAGCCAGCACTTATCTTGACTTAACCACTAAAAGGCCAAAAGTGGAGCTATGGCTCAAGTTATAGAGCACTAGCCTTGAGCAGGGAAAAAAAAAAAAAAAAAGCAGCAGCAGCAGCTCAAGAACAGTATACAAGCCTAAAGTTCAAACCCCAGGACCTGTGTATGCACACGTGTGTGCACATGCACACACACAGAGACAGCATTCATGATACATAGCTTGACAGTTTAACCTCCCCGAGTCTTCTAGAAGAGGAACAGTAAAGTACTGTTGGAACCTTTCTCCTCTGCTACAGACATCACCCAAATTCCCTTCCTCCTTTTGCCTTCTCCACTTCAGTATCTCCAAGGCCAAATAGTAGGGTCCATGCTCCAGTACAGATGGAA